GGCTGGAAGGCAGACTCCTAGCTAGGCCATAAGGCAAGCTTCCGGTTGTGCCGGTAGGTAGACCATCTTGGGCTTCCGCTCAATTGGACTTGCGCTCCTTGACGGGCTTGATTGGTTGGGCCGATTGGAGATCCGAATTGCTGGGTCCACTGGCTGGGCCTGTCTGGCCAGATAATGGTCCTGGGCTTGAGCTTGGACTTAATGGTCCAAGTTCGGGCCTATGCCGATTAAGCATTGGGCATAGTCCCATAATCCCATCACTAACCAAGCCACGCTTTTCTCCTGACCAACTCTGGTGTAGTTCTAAAACGCATGCCCTTCTTGTCTCCTTGGAAACCCCAATCTCAAAAGCAAAGACGAAGATCACGGTGCTGCCCGCGGCTGTAGATCCTCTCTACAACCAATTCAAACCTGACTCTCAGCCAAAGTGTGACAGGTGCTGCAAATTGAATGTAGGTTATGCTAGGTGTGTGACTTGTGAGCTAAACTAATTTCAAACTCAATTAATTACATCTCAAACAATTGCTTCCAATAATCAGAAATTTTCTCAATTTCAATATTTAACAACAAATATTGACCTCAACTTATCCAAATAAAATTTTAGGCTAGTATATTATCAAGAAACGGACACAGTTAATTAAAATGCTAAAATAATTCATGGACGATATTAAAATATAACTTCAAGTTTAATTAAACTAAACGACAATACAAAATAATTCATGGACATGATTCAGAAACCATGTTTGTATACAGACACTAGTTGTCTGTGTACATACCAAAACGATTTGTTTGCATATTTTTTGTTTGTGCGCATGCATGTTGATAGACACTTACACTTTTTTAATTTAATTTCTTCAAAACAGATAAATTTTGTCAAAACATGTCCGTACTTACACATTTTATGTCTGTGTACACAAACATTAGTTCTTGTGTAACCTAAATCAAACTTCTGTGCAGCATTGTGTTTGTGTACACAAACACTGAAAGCAAACCAGTACCATTTTTTTGTTTATGACAATATTTACAAAATGTTACTTGCGTTTTCAATTTTTTTCCAAATAGAAAAATTATATAATCATTCAACATTATTTTATATAGCACACAGACAAGAATTTCGATGGTCATTCATTTTTAAATTTCAGGCGACTTTTCAGTGACTCTTAAGTACCACTTTTTATGCATGGACTAAAATAAAATTGAAAATGATGTGATGAAAGATGATGGTGAAAATGGAAGATGAATAGTAGGTATAACAAAAAAAAAGAGATGGAAAGATGAAACAAGAAAGAAGAAAAGGAAACAAGAAAGATGCAAGCAAAAAGAAAAATGAGGCATGTGATTCGTATGATAGAGAGAATTGTTGTTATATCGTGGGAGCAACCCACGGTGAGCATTGTGCTCCCACATACAAAACATGCGTGAACAGTAACACACATGTATAATAATTTTTTTCCTTGTTAGAGTAGCAGAGTGATGCAATTTCGTGTACAGAATTGTAATTCACGTTGATAATAAATGTAATTGAAGGTAAGTCGAAATGTAACTTGTCTAATACAGAGTTTAAGAAATAAAACATTGGTTTCAATGTAAACAATGAAAACAATGAGTCTAATTGCTCAATTATTTTACATAAATAGTGAATATGTTTTGTTTTTTATATTAAGGCCATAAATTTTTTATTAAAAAACTTTTTTTGCCAATTTTTTTGCCAAAAAAACATTTTTTTTGCAATTTTTTTGTTTAGCAGGGGTTTTAGAAAATGTAAGTTGCATTGATGAAAAATGTATGTCGCATTGATGGAAAAACTAACTTAACTGTATGCAAAATGTAATTAGTTGAGACAAATTCAAATGTAATAATATGTAACTAGTAACAACATATATTATCAAATGTAAACAATGAGTCTAATTGTTCAATTAATTTACGTAAATAATCAATATGTTTTGTTTTTAATATAATGGCATAAAAATATTTTAAAAAAACATTTTTTATTTTGCAAAAAAAATGTTTTTTTGTTTCAATAGCATGAATTTATTTTGTGATGTAACTCGTATTATGGAAAATGTAAGTCACGTTAATGTAAAATCTAACATAGGCGTATGCAAAATGTGACTATGTGAGTCACACACGAGAAGATCTAAAAGTAACTCGCATATAAGATGTAAGTCACGCATAAAAAGATGTAATTTGCGCACGAGAAGACGTAATTACATATAAGAGTTTTTTTTACCCTAAATAGGACTAAATGATGATCAAAATTCCCAAATAGGAGTTAATGTTTTAATTTTCGTTAATAGGACTACTTATGACCAATTTACCCCTGCTTTATTAAAACCCCCAATCCCGACTCCCGATTCGGCATCTTCTATACCGATCGCAAGCGAGCTCCTCTCCCATGGAGTACCGATTCTGCATCTCTTCCGCGCAACCTACCCCGGCCAGCTAGCGTGTGTACAGGTAATCGACTCATCTTTCTTCTTCTTCTTCTCCTCCTCCTCCTCCTCCTCCTCCTCCTCCTCCTCCTTTCCCTTCTTTCTCTTCGTCTCCTCCTTCTTCCTCCTCTTCTATGATCTGTTCCTCTTTCATTTATTTTTAATTTCTGTTAATTTATTCAAATATGATTTCTATTTTGTATTCTTTATCTAAATTTTTGAATTCAAAATCTTTGGGAATGAAAATTCAAGGTTCCTGTTAAGAAATTTTCAGATCTAAATGTTATTATGGAGTTGTAAATAGAATGCCATATTTATGGCAATTTTTTATGGAGATGAAAATATTACATATTTGAGAATGCCAAAATTTTGACATTTTCACAAATTGTGGCATTTTATGACATTGAATTGAATTTATTGGCAAGATACTTCATCTTCTTCTCCTATTCCACATTTTCCACTCTAAAATGTGAAAATGACATAATTCATAATCTGAAATTCCATGTTTTTTGCATACAAAAATGCCATTTTTTGTCATTATTGCTATCATAATTGCAGTTTTGCAGAAATTGATACAATACAGAAGAGGTGGCTGATTAAGAAGATGTCAACATCGATCTACAGAATCTAATAGTGGCACCACTCTCACTTCCGGACGGGTAAGTGCAGTGGAGGTGTGCAGCGGCGATCTCGGTGGCAGCGGCAGCGGCGGCGCTCTCACTTGGCGGCGGCGGCGCTCTCACTTGACAGTGGCGGCGATTTCAACGGGAGCAATCGTGCACCCAGGGGCTGAAAGTTTCGCCGTTTGGAGTTTAGGCTAAAGGCGATGAAGCAACTGGGAGAAGATTTTGTTTTTTGTTTTTGACTCTTTGACTTCATTAAGGGAAATTATGTCTAAGCAGTTCATTTTTGGTCGTATAAAATATGAGAGTCCTATTTGTGCACTTCAACATGGATTTAGTCCTATTTAAAGAATTACCTCTACATGTAATTTAATGTAACTCTAGAAATTGTCTATAAACGTAACTCAGGCATGTGCGAAAGTAAACCACACATATGATGATGTAATCACATATTTTATCATTTGTAAATCGAAATAACAAAATTATTGTGTTAAACACACTAAAAACACGTAAAAGAGATAAATAAATAAAATATGTCATACGAAAATGTGTATGAACATGAAAAAAATATTACAAAAAATGTATAATACAAAAAATATTACGGAAATAAAAATAGTATATGGATGTGAAATGTATTATACTTATTTTTTTAGATTAATATTACAAAAAAGTGTATAGTATAAAAACATATTACAAAAAATATTACTCCGTATAATACAAAAAAAATTAGTGATAAAATGGTAATAGATTGAGTTGTAATTTAAGTTGTAGATAAATAAAAGTATAATTATAATTACATTTTTAATATTTTATGGAGAATAAAAAAGTTGTAGGAAAAGAAAATAAATAAAAAAAGCAAGGAGAGAAAAAATACTTCAATAAAATATGTAGGCAGGGCCGGCCCAGAGGGAGTTTAGGGTGTGCGACCGCACAGGGCCCAAAAAAATCGAGGGCCCAAAATAAAATTTTTAGTAGTACTACTACTACTCTACTAATGTAATAATGTATGATGAATTGATGAAATAATGAAATTTAAAAATGCGGTTGTTATTTAGAATTAAATGTAATTAGTTGATGAGTTAATTAGGCTATTTATATTTAATAATTAAATTTATAATTGCTGCAGCTATGTTTTAAGAACATCTGTTTGTCGATCAATATTTATGTCAGAAAGAAAGGCCCAAATTTTGTTATTGCACAGGGCCTCCATTTTCTCAGGACCGGCCCTGTATGTAGGTGTAGGGAAACAAAATAAAAAATAGTGAAATCAGTATAACATGCGGACGGAAGTAAAAATATGGGATATTTTACCAAAGCTTATACTGAATTTTTTTAAAAAATATATATGTGAATTTGAGATAGAAAAAATAAGGAGTAAGGCATTTTCAAATTTCAAATACTCCATAACAATTTATAGATTACTTCCCCAACCACCACACAATAAAGTATGTTGGGTGAATTTCTTCCTCTTAAACAATCGACCTAATCTCCTTTTGGTTTTTGGTGGTGATATCATGTATCGATTCATGTTAGTCGACCCCAATATCTTTTGGGACTAAGGCTTGGATGTTGTTGAAACAAACGACCTAATCTTCGGGAAAAGGATCAGATAGACCCTCGAACTTATATAAAAAGGTCAAATACGCCCTTATAAAGGAGGCTCTGTTGGGCCGTCGTCATTTGTGGCGGTTTTCGTTGGAATTTTTTGATGAAATTTTTTGAGCATCTTATTCATTAAGTCTAGTTTATTCATACCAAATTTTAGCTAACAATTCAATCGGGAAGGCATTCAAATGAATTCTTGAAGATAACTGCGCTTTTAATTGCGCATTTATCTTCAAGAATTCATTTGAATGTCTTCCTGATTGACGTTTTAGCTAAAATTTGGTATGAGTAAACTAGATTTAACGAATAAGATGCTCAAAAAATTTCATCCAAAATTAACTCGGGAACTGCCCCAAAAGAGTAAACTAGCTTATTTGACCCTTTGTAAGTTCGAGGGCTATCCTTTTCTCCCTAATCTTCTAAAACAATGACGGGGTATCCTTCTCTGCAAACACTGAAATCTCTTGCTTCTGATACTTCAGAGTAGCAGGCCAATATTCAAATGGCATCTCAAGATCACCATGACCATCATCATCACCACAGCCATGAGTACTGCTCTCCCCCCTTTCACTTAATTCCACTCTTCCCTTCTTTTTTTTGTTTATTTTGAGTTAGTTGCTGCACTTGCACAGAGATTCAAGAGCAACAACATGGGTTGGCCCAGATGGGAAGGTATACCACAGCCATGATGGACTTGCACCGCATTCACATGAACCCATATACTCACCTGGATACTTCAGCAGAAGAGCACCTCCTCTAACCAACAGGAATTTCAATGAGAGAGCCTTTACTGTAGGGATTGGCGGCCCTGTTGGAACTGGGTACTTTATTTTCCATTTATCCTCAATTTCAGAGTTTTAGTTTTCAGTTGTGGAAACACGCTTTAGAAAAGGGTCCTAGTATTAAATATCTATATCTTTAGTTTTTCGTTATTTATGTCAAATTGAGCATAATGTGCTTAATTATCCACTGTAGCAGCTGCGTTTATATCTATATGAATTTCCCGTAAAGTTCAGTCCTTTATATGAATGACATGCTGTAGCTAAAGTCTTTTTTAGGGTCGTATTAAAGAACTCTGGATTTGAGCGTCTCTATCCAAAAATTTCAACTACATATGAGGAAAAAAAATCTCTTTCTTAAACATCCAGTTTGGAAACTTAGAGGCTTCGTTTAATTTGGATGTGTTAAACCCTTCATTTCACTTTCTGTACTGAACTAAATTTTTATTTACCTTGCAGGAAAACAGCTTTGATGCTTGCATTGTGCAAAGTATTGAGGGAGAAATACAGCCTGGCAGCAGTATGTATTCTACTTACCATTTTAGATTCAGTGCAAGTCTAAAGATTGTATATAACATATACCCCCCAATCTATGATTTAAGTTCTTAATTTCATTTTTTGGGATGTCCGAAATTTAAGTTCTCACTTCCTTATTTGGTAGTACTTTGGGTAGCAAAAGTCTTTTTTACAGGAATACAAAATGGTGATAATATCAAATGATTTTTTCTACCTTTTTTCTATGAACTTTTTGAACTCAACCTCTTTCCATCTTTTGGGTAATAATTAGTCTGTTATCTTTTGGTCTCCTAAGTCCCAAACCAAGGACTTTGTATTCCAATATCTTTGTTTGACACTTTGACCTTTTTATGATGCTCGTTTTGGGTTCAATCTACATTCCCTATTAGGTTTCATAACCCTTCACCGCTTGTTGAAGTCTCGATCTTTTTAATCCTTTTTTGGCATTATTCTTTTGCTTAGGAGGGATTGAGGAATTGAGTTGTCACACTAAGTCATCTTTGAGATAATCTTAGTCTTTTTGGAGTTTTTGGACTGATCCTAGTATGAATGGTGTGCAAGATTTAGAAAGATGGGGATTTTCTTGATCAGTACATTTGGCTATTTTATTGTTTGAATTGATTTGAGAAAATTAATTAATTGGCCTTATAAATTTCTTGCTAACAACTCTAACTAGTTGGCTAGTTTATAGTCTAGTCTTTATCTATGCTCTGATTTAATCAAGATTATAAAACCAGCTTTTATGGGATTCATAAATCATAACAAACATATTCCTTGCTGTCACCTTTTCCATAAAATGCTTCAATGGTTTATATTTAAAAAATCCATGGTTAACCATTGTGGTTGTAATCTATGCTCTGAAGTAAGTCCAAGTCAAGTACTCAATTATAAAACTAATTAAACAAAGTCATAGACAAATGAGATGCTTGGTTTTAGGTGACTAATGACATATTCACAAAGGAGGACGGGGAGTTCTTAATAAAACATGGAGCACTTCCAGAGGAAAGAATTCGTGCAGTTGAAACAGGTGGCTGCCCACATGCTGCAATTAGAGAAGACATAAGCATTAACCTTGGACCTCTGGAAGAGCTTTCAAACTTGTATAAAACTGATATTCTGCTGTGTGAATCTGGTGGAGGTATAATATTTTGTTTTGTTTTTGTTCTTTTTCTGCAATATATCAATATGTATACCTTTTACATCACATATGAGTGTTAAACTGGTACCTGCATCCACTTCTCTTGTTAACATAATTATTTACTTTTGTTGACCAATTTAACTAGAAAAATTATGAATCGAAGCAATGAAAAATGTATGACTAAATTAAAAATAATGGAAATACTTTTTTCAACTTCAGACTGCAGCGACTGTGGTGGTATTTCAAAAGTGGCTGGGAACAACCTGTAATACCATGCAATCATATTTTTGGTCAAGAATCTATTGTAGTAATATTATTATACGAAAAACCCCTACAGATTTCGATGAACTTACCATGTTGCAGATACTGATTAGCCGATACTGAAGCATTAATTGTGATGTGATGTGACTACATCTTTCTTGGTTGCAGATAATCTAGCTGCCAACTTTAGCCGGGAGTTGGCTGACTATATCATCTACATAATCGATGTGTCCGCAGGCGATAAAATACCACGGAAAGGTGGTCCAGGAATTACCCAAGCTGACCTCCTTGTAAGTGGCTTCCTGCTTCTATCCATTCATGTGTATCACTCAATGTAGGAATTACCCACCCACTACACATGCTGCTGCTGATTTTTCTGCTCTTGTATCACTCGATGTAGGTTATAAACAAGACTGATCTGGCAGCAGCTGTTGGAGCAGATCTCTCTGTTATGGAGCGTGATGCACTTCGCATGCGGGATGGTGGTCCTTTTGTGTTTGCTCAGGTGCCTTGAGCGTTTTTTATGGATTGTGTCGCTTCCTTTTTGTTAGTTATATCCTTCATCCTCTCGAAAAGGTTAAAACCTTTACTCTATATGACAGATGCGATTAGTTTTTCAAAACATTTCATATATTTAGTTATTAGTCAGACTCTTTATATAATAGGAGTACAATTCAGTTAATAACATGATTTTATTTTTGAACGCTTGAGGTTGACTTATTGAGTTTCAAGTTTCAACATGTTTTATTTTTTATGTTCACCCCAAATATTCTTTGCTTTTAGTTTTCCTTCCTGTTTCCTTTTCCTATCATATTCTTTCTTCCTAGACCCTCACATTTAGCTAAATCTCATTTTCCAAGTAAACAGTGTAGCAGATGAAGTCCTGCAAAGCTCATAAACTGACTTAAAAACTGCATGTGAATATATGAGGTTTTTCCTTGAATATTACTGAAATACAGAGTATAGCTTATGAACAAAAATATTAATATAGTTACTATGCAGTCACTACATTGTAGAGTAGAATACAGGCATGTCACTAAAGTTACTATGGTAGTCACTAAAATATAAAGTCATATTTTTATCCACTATCTTTATTTTAGTCATATATTTGTCATTATTTCTGAATATATATGAACGGAAGACCATCTTCGAATTAGTAGTGATGGCTCTCTATGTGATATGCAAATATTATTCAACTGCAGGTGAAACACAATGTGGGCGTGGATGAAATAGTGAACCACATCTTACAAGCTTGGGAAGTTGCAACCGGTAATAAGCGGCACTGAATATTTTACTGAGATTTCTGCATGTCTGAACCCTTCTTTATTGCGCAGTAACTAATGATGATTGGTTTCTCAAAATCTCATCCCTTAAAGCTCCTTCCTGAATAAACAAGAATTGTTGCAGAGTTCCTGCAAATCAGAACTTTAAGATTTGTCTTGTTTGACAGATTTTTCTGTGAGTTTTTGTGACGGGCCAGTCATTTATTCATTCGTTGCATTTATTTAGAAGATGACTTCCTAAGGATGACTGCAAGCCTGGGGTGGAAATGCCAATTTTGGGGTTTTCACCCCAATGCCCTGTAATCCAGGAAAAAATGTATTCAAGGCACCCATGGGGGGAATCCGCTACCCTCATTCACCCGACCCCATATTCTGCATGCGTAAATACGGAGAAAAAGCAGCATCTGGACTGCAGTTGGCCCGTGCAGCGTTGTTGCTGGGTGCGCGGGTGGGCATCTGGTGTCCGGCTTTGCTTTTATGTGCAGCTGGGCTGGTTTAAAACAAAAAAAATAGGTAAATCCGACATCTAGGGTTTATTGGGGCCCCAAAAAATTAGGTAGATCCAACGGCTGAAATTTTGATCCAAATCCGACGTCTAGGGTTTATTGGGGCCCCAAAAAATTAGGTAAATCCAACGGCTGAAATTTTGATCCAATGGTTAGAATATTTTTTATTTATTTTTTGTTTTTTTTTTTAATTCGATGGGTGTTTTTATATAAACATCACTTTTACTTTCATTTCAATACTTTTATCAGCATTCTTCCTCTTCTTTTTACTTAAATTTTTTACCACTTTTTTTAATAATAGTTAATAACATGACTTCACAAAGAAGGGGTGTTAATTGGAGTTACAATGAAGACGTAGTATTATGCAATTCTTGGGTCACTATTTTCGAAGATGGTGCAGTCGGAATGAACCAAGTAGGAGATTTATATATTTTGGTCCCGAGTTCATACGTTGTTTTGCCAAAAGTCTAATGCGACAGTTCGGATTCGGGATGCCATTGAATCACGCTTCAAAACTATCAACCATCAATGTACTTTGTGGAAGTGGAGTTTGAGAAAGGCAAATGTAACCCCCGAAAGTGGATCCTATCTAATGGATGTGGTATGTTATTTATAAATATTTTTTAAGTAAATAATTAATAAATACATTAAACATATACTACGTATATTGTAATATTACTAGTGTATTATATAAATTTATTTAATATATTTTGTGTATATATTATGTTAGTATATATATTACGTTAATATACTACTACCTCCGTCCCCCTAATATCGGGACGAAAGAGAGTGATGTGATTTTTAAAAAAAGTAGAATTATGTGGTTGATAATGAGTTGATAATGTGGGAATAAAGTAAGAAGGAATTAGAGTCACACAAATATTACCAAATATGGTATGAGACAATAATAAGGGACATCCAAAAATGAAAAAATGGGACAATTATAGGGGGGGCAGAGGGAATATTATTTAGTATACATTATGCTATTTCTAAATATTTACATACTATTATATTCTGTAAATATATATATTGTGTATCTATTATAAATATTAAGTAAATATATTACGTAATATACTGCGTATTAAATACTAGCGTGTGTGTATACTATTATTTTTGTAAATGACAATCATGGCGAACCCTTTAAGTTTGGTCATGCTTGGCGTATCCTTCAAACATGTCCAAAGTGGTATCAACAATATGATGCCAATCTTACTTTTACGCCTGTGCCTTCACCCACTTCTGACATATTTGGTGGGGAAGGTAGTGGTTCCTCCTCGTTCAACGGTGCAAGTGGTCCACTACGACAACCTGAGGGGTGTGACAAACCAAAGCGAAAGAAAATAGCCAAGAATCGGAGTTCCAAAACATACCTCGCGATATTTGAGTTCATGGAAAAAATGATGAAGCAAGATGAATTAATGGAGGATCGGAGAGAATAGAGGAGATGTATGAGGCAACGGGTTTGAATGTTGAAACGGCAACAAGGCTTAAGAATATAGATATTGTAACCATGGACCTCACTCCGTACTCACCAAAGAAGCAAAAATGGCTAAGAGAACAACAAAATCTCATCTTGGGTTATGATCAAGATGCACCGAGTAACGATGTTGCTACATCTGTCGGAGGAAATGTGTACTCCCCTAAATTTGACCCTAGGGTGTGGAGGATTTTTAAGTAATGTTGTATTTCAATTTTTCGTTTTCTAATTTCGGAGTTCAAAATAAGTTTTATAAATCATGATTCAAAATGCGTACTCCCCTACACTTGCTTTATCATTTTACATCAATTAAATTAGATATAATACACACTTGCTTGTCAATTTTCAAATATCCTATTTACTTGCTTCATATTTTTGTATAAATAGATGTCTCAGTAGACCTCTACTCACAACCAACTTTTCTCATATTCTAAAATATATTATCATGAGTTCTTATATCTCAATATGAGAGAAGCCCTAGACTGCTGCTACGTGAGTATAATGATGGTGAAGTTGACTCTCATCGTATGATGATGGCTATGATGATGAGATTTATTGCTTCAAACTCCGGTAATCGTGAGTAAATTGGTCGAGACAGAAAAGATGACCATCGTCGTTTGATGACAACTTATGGAATCCAAATCCAACTTAGAATGCTACTATATTTCGTGGTTGTTTTCCCATGCAATCTGATTAGTTTGACCGCATCATGAGGCGTGAGTTGATAAATGTATTGAACCAGTTATGTTATTGGGTAAGCCATCCACTTCATATTTTTCTAGTGATTTCCCCTCAATAAAAAATAACAATTGACATATCCATGCTCGCAAATGGTTCCTCTGTTGATTCGTTATATCAGATCAGTTATTCCATTTGAGGGATAGATTGTTTATGAAAGATTTTTTATGTCAATTATCATGATATATGGCTCTTGGTACCTAAGAACATTGAGTCATGATGATCACCATCGTCTTCTTGAGAAGGTGTCAAACAAGGGATTCCCGGGTGTATAAAGTGGACATAATGGGAAAATGAGATCTTCAGCAAGGTGGACAGCTTATTTGGGCCCTGGAATTCCGGTCTCACAAGGCAGACGGCGACAAGAGAAGCAACAAAATATGTTGGGACATTGTGTACTATGGGCCGTTCAGAAGATCTTGTGACTGTCGTCTGGGTCGTTCTGGCTTGCACAACATAGGTCTTCTGCAAGCGGCAAGGCTAGCAACTTTTTTTTATTTATTTATTTTTAAAAGAAGAGTATCCTGATTATTACGACATTTGCAAAATATAAAAGCTTTCAATGGCTTGAGAATTGTAATAAATGTTGGGATGCAACATGACTTTATAATCCGTAAATGCACTCGCCTAAGAATAAAAACTAAAACAAAGTTATCCTGCAATTTTTTTACGCTACAAAAGCTGAACCCCTTGCTATATAGAGCTCGAGGTACCGGTTCTACCTCTGGAATCCTAAACAACCCAAGTTTATAATTGGCTGGACCACTTGTTAAAGAAAATGAAGGGGCACAGCCTTCCCCCCAGGATCCTTAGTAGTTTCGTCACTAATTGTATGCACTGAGAATGGAGAATTATCCTACGGCATGACTGGAACAATATATTGGGTATAAGCACAAACCAACTATTGTGCTTGAAGTTGTTGCTTCATACAATACTCATATATGGCATGCATTTTTCAGCACGTGAGGTTCCAACAATGACCTTAGGCCATCTCCAACAGTTTACATCATTTTTTGCACTAAAATGGTGTAAACATCACACCATACAGTACTTTATCTCCAACAGTTTACACCATTTTTATCACTAAAAAGGAATATTCTTTTTTTATTCTTTTTACCATTATTATATTTAATTATATAGTTATCATATATTTATACATTAGCCCCTCACGTAATATGTATTTTGGCATTTCACTAATATTGGGTGATTTAAATTTTATTATATTTTTTATATCAAATTTATAAATTAAATTTGTTGTTCTGCCCAGTTTTATAAACCTAATGATTAAATTATGAAGTAAAAATATGTTGGTCGATCATTTATATACTTATACTACACAACCGTGGGTTTTTAAAGCGAGCCAAACAAAATGGTCAAAATTATAGAAGTTCAACATTTTGGAGTTTGGGTCAATTTTGAAAAACAAAAAATAAAAAGAAGAAGATGGCGGCTGGCTGCGCCATATATGGCGTAAACAATACCTCTCTCCCCCATTTTAGTGAAATGGTGATAAATTTGGTGTAACTATTGGAGCAAAAAAATGGCAAATCCCCCATTTTGGTGAAGCATTTGGTGATTGTTGGAGATGGTCTTAACACTCCTACAAACTCTCTAGTGTTTGATGCAAATGTGAATGGTTGCAATCCTTAAGGCAATTGTATGGTAAACGATAACTTGTAAAATCTATGTTATTACTTAGTCGACGTGATTTATCCTACATGGGTTACTTTTGTTCCGGTAATTGGTAATCTTGACACCCTAAGAAACGGCTATTTGCTGTTAAGAAGAAGTGTTGACATTTTACAAACGAGATGGGCTATCATACGAAGGCTCGTCCAAATATATCAGACATAGACTTTAACTGATATTATGCTCACATTCATTATCCTACACAACATAATTGTAGAAGACGAGCATAAATTAAAGAAACTGATGACGATCCAAGTAGTCAAGATTATAGTGTGGACTAGTGTGGACTGTAACTATATTGATCCGCACATTGAATTTGATCTTCATCACGATGCCTCAATTTCGCATGACTACGTGATGCGGCATAATCACATTAGGAGCTCTTCAATGCACATTGCTCTTAAAAACGATCTTGTCAATCATTAGTGAAGGCATCACAAGAATGTCATGTAGTGATTATTTGTCTGTTGTTAATGTTTTCATGTCCACTTCAACAATGGAATTACTCTTTGCAACTGTCCTCATTCTTGTAATGTAACCCGATTTCCTCAGCCTTTTTTATTATTTGCAATGACGCAATCAATGTTATGTGTGTTTCTCGTAATTTATTATTAGTATTTGAATCAACAACTTATGTTTTGATATATTCATAGTAATATTCATCAAGTACATAGTATTAAAACTGCAAAAATAATAATATAGTAAAATGGAAAATCACGTAATATGGTAAAGTAGTACATATTTTTATTGGTAATCAGAAATTAATTAAAATGAAATCAAGTGTGCATTTTTTAATACTTATGAAAAAATAATTCAAATTTTAACATCGGGATGTTTGAATTTTTAAATCATAATCATTTGTAAAAAACATGTGTCGCATAATTAATGTGTAATAATAAAAATAAGGATTTATGCATTTAATTCAAAAAATTGTGTCGGATGACTATATATTGATGGTGGTGAATTGTAGGGTGAATCAAATTGACTGGTTGAATATCGAATTTTGGGGAATTCGATTTATTCACCCTCGAGGGTTGCGGACTTGCGGTTATCCTAAATTCGTCTTTATCTTTTTATGGGTGCATAATAATATTTGAATATATTTTATGTAAAATAAGCTCAGAACCGTTTGAAATATGACCAAGTCCATCTAGCCATCGAGGGGTGGACAAAGTTTCAAAACCATCCGAGTGTTATCCGAATAAAAAATGGGAACTCGGATCGGACTAGATCGGAACTAAATCAATACCGGTCCTTGTTCAATATTAATTTTTAAATGTGTGTGTATTATGATATACGGAGTATTAATGTATTATACTATTATATACTTTGTATAATATAGTATAACTAATATTGATAGTCATATAATTATATTATACTACGTATAACTCTTTCTGTCCCATTTTGTAAGATACACTTTTCACTTTCTTACTTTATCTATCTATTCATTTAAATTAATAAACATGTGGTTAATATTATACAGAGATATATCACGTTTGAACAAACATGAAAACAGTAAACAACAGAAAATAATGATAGTAAAGTATTTATTGAAAAGCTACAAACAGTTTTAAGACAGAAAGTAGTTATTGACAAATATGGGTCTTTGTTTAAGTACAAAACCTACTTTAATGTCAACCTGAACCTGGCATAAACAAGAAAAAACTTCCATTGTAGTCGGCAACTTTTACATTAGAAGAATGAACCAAGTAATCAAGTATAGGGTTGTCTACAGCAAATACACCTTTAGCTAAATTGAACTGAGCTAAATTATGGGCAAGCCAAACTTTACATGGTACTGATCATCACTCATTGGAGCTGCTAATGCACAATCCCTTAAGTTACCAGTCTTCATAGAAGACAGAAAGCGGCATCAATTGCTTGTAATATAGGAGCAATATCAAACTGAAAGTTTCTAAAGCTTCTGCCAGGACCCGTGTCATAGGGTTTCTCATCGATAATTGCTGGTTTGCTTGATTGACACTCTGCTACCCTTGAGCTTCCTGCAGAACTACTCTTAGCCCTCCACACGCTACTTCCTATGAAACATGAATAAAATTCTTGAAAATTTAAAAATATTTAAAAATGTGGAGTAAAAATAATACTATTCCATTTACAAATAAGAAATCAGTATTATTTTCTAGGTAATTCGCAGATGCCAAATATTTTTTTATTGTTATTAATTCTTGATCGAGGTTATTTTAGTAACTAACACACTTTACCAACTGAAAAGAGATTTAACTATTTTTTAACCCCTACTGTTCATTGATTGACAAAGACAACTTGCAAGAGGGAGAGAAATAACCTTTCAGGTATCTATCAGGTCTAGGTGCTACTGGAGGCTGGTGGGCAGAAATCCACGCTTTTAAAGACCTGTAATAAATTTCTAGATTATTTCCACGAAATCATAGGTAGTCATTAGAAGGAATTTAAAAGGAAATATTTAATAAAGACACGTTGCTACTAACATTAAAAATGGAGCAACCATGTAAAGTTTAAGGCCACTATAAGTACGCGATATGACATCACCATTTCCTGACTGGAGCTCATCAAGTCGCTGCCAGGCAATTTCCTGTATACAGAAGAAGTTTCATTGCTTCAACATAAAAACATGTGTACATGAGTACATCAAGAAACTATATAGTAGGGGGCTACAAGGATCTGCATGGCAGTCCGAATTGCACTAAATGCTTTTTATTGTCAAAATACTTCTTAACTTTGATCATCTACACACTAACCCACCCACCACCCCACCACACCCCCAAACTGCCAAAATCCCTTGAATTCTTGGGAGGATTTAGATAGAGATGCTTTCATCATAACTTACACTAATCTCCTTTTTGGTCAGCGGTGCAAAGACTGTATCATCTTTCACTCCAGCGATTATGTAAAGCCGCACTCTTTGCTGGCCAAAAACCATTTCAATGTACTCTTCCTTTTTAAGAAGTTTTGAGACCTCAAACCCTGTTTCCTCCAAAACCTGCATTCATCCATCCATTATAGAATATAAAAAACGCGGTATATTGTCAAGTTGTCATCACCACCATCGGTGCAAGCTACATCGAGGTCGGTAGCAAGCAATTCCTAATGTGAATTAATTGTCTAAAATGTGATTGAATTTAGGACACTGCAATTTTATGAAAATATGTTCCAAAGAGGCAAATAGGAGGAGTGTAGCAGATGTCATTCTTGTAGAAGATGAAGCTGCAGAGAGTCATTCACTTGTTCTTGAAAAATAGAACCAGATATTTGTCATCATATCAGGTGTGAGTCGCAACAGTGGTGCAAAAAGGGTTTTACGGAGGTTACTGTTTATTTTAAAAAGTCTACTTTACCCTTAAGGCCTTAATACCTCTGAAAACAAAACTTAGCCCAGAAAACTCCTAACTGCAGCGAAGAAAAGCAAATAGTGCACCGCTATAGCGTCCCCTACTCCCGCTTTAGTGCCCACTATAGCAGCCGCTACTCCCACTAGAGTCAAACGCGATGCTACAGGTGGTCTTGTATCGCACTAGCGCCCAACCCTTCCTACGCTCCACTATGCTGATATACAGCGCTATTGACAACACTGATGCACATAAAGCCTCTGAATAACAAAATAGGATTCGAAAAGCGTGATGACATACCTCTCTAACAGCACATGCATAATCTTCTTCATCCTTGTTCTTTTTTCCACGAGGGAAACTCCAGCTTGATCCTTTCCAACCCTTCACTAGCAAGCACTGTACTTCATCCAAAAAAAACAACACTATTACAAGGGATGAGGGATATGCTTGTACTATAAACCAAAGTTCTAACGATGACATCTAAGAGAACATAGAAAATTAAATTCATTCTAGCATCTCACTCATTAATAAGATTCATAGAAGTCCAGTGGATTTTGTCCATTTAGATTAGAAGATAAAAGAAAATGTTGTCAGCATCCTAATATCCATACGGTCTTCTTTAAGAAATGTCCAGCAAACACAGCAAAAGTTATACAAAGGCAACATAGGCACACAAGTTAAGATAAAAATTTCATACAACAGCTAGTGTGCATGCTTCTTAAAAAAAATGCACATATAGTTTAATACACTATTTATTCGAGATTATGTTATCAGTGTGGTGGGGAGATGAAAAGAAAGAAGATTAAAAGCAATAACACAGAACTTCCCCGCCCTATTGAGTAATTACTACTTCCTCCGTTCTTTTTTAGTTGCACAACTTTGACCATCAATAAAATTAATTCTCCAATTACAAAAATTTCAAAAAAAAAAAAAAAGTTAAAATGAGAAGAATTTAATTACATTTTCAAATAAATAAATTTTTAATGTATTCGTAAATTAAAAAAAAAGTCAAATTAGAGAATGTAAATAGTGTAAAATATCTAATGTTGCAACTATTTGAGAATGGAGGTACTATTGTTTAGTTAAATAATATCAAGAACAACCACAACAACAGGCAGTCTCCAATTGCATTACTTATCCATGATCCTTACGCCCGGCTCTCACGCGAGACATGCTCATACTAATACATAACAGCAGCAATAATAAGAAACAATACTTAAATTATACATATATAAATATATACTTCGTATATGTTTTTCAAAGAATTGATTGGCCATGCTCATTTATGTTCTATAAAATTCATTGGTTAATTCATTGGTTTCACTGTGTTCATCAGCCTACAACACTTACTGAACAATTATCTCTTCATCCCTTCCATTACTATTCTAGTACTCGCAAGTAATATCCTACAGCTTGGCTCTTACCCGCTCATAAGTTTCATCCAGGATTATGGCCCCTGTAACAGGAACTCGAACCTTATATGAGGTGAAGTCCTTGAAAATGTCATCTATATGGGCAACATATGGTTTTAAAGCGCCACAGCTGTTAAATACTAAAATAATTTAAGGAGACCAGATTGAATCCTATAGCATATTAAAATTCTAAAAGAACTCAACAATTATTAATATGACAGAGAACAATAAATGTGCCGAAAGTTTTGAAGAACCCCAAAATGTCTGCATAAATATGAAACAGATCTCTCCACTAAAAAGGGAGGGAAAAGAACAAATTTATTTCATTTCAGAGATTCAAAAGTGGGGATTTATTTCCTGCAAGGGATTCAAGTGAATAAGGTGAGGATATGCATCCAACTTCCATGGCTCCAGAAGAATCAGGGTTAATGAGAAAGCAGGTGCATTTCTCTCAAGAAAAAAAGGTGGACCCTTCCACTCATTGGAGATGAGAAAAGAATAGGAGAAGCCACTCAAGTTCCATGACCAGTAAGATGCAAATGGGGTCAAAGATGACATGTGCATCATAAAGAAAGGACACATTCTTTTCCAACAATATCAGCAATCTACTCTCTAGGCAAGCAAATAAAATCCCCAGCCATATAAACACTATGAAGAAGGATACAGAGAGAAGTGAATTCCTTAAGAGTGAAAGATTTCAATGATGGATTGTTTTCAACGGAATTGTCTTCATAAAACCAATGTGCATACTCCACTAGAAACAAAATCCTCTCAAAAGACTGCTGATCTTCTTTTGGAACATTCAGAACAAACCGACTGCACCATTGGAGAAAGAAATCTCATTTGTAAGTTGAAACGCATAAGAGATACAAATGTTAGCATCTCGCTGAATTAAAAAAAATGGAATAAAAAAGGGAACATGTAACATGAAGCTAAAATGTACATACAACTAAAATGTATTGAGATATTGAAGGGATTAGCACTTCCCTTCCACAGCTAAATAATAATGAAACATGCAACTAAATTATCAAATATCAACCTATAATCATATCAAGTTTCAGTATTAAAAAACACATATTTTTATCAATCTTAAAGTCTTACTCCTAATCTAAACCATCAAGCTTGCAATAGCTATAAATTCGAATGCAAGGTCATATTCCTCATTTTTATGGCAATTCTGAGCACCAACCTTAGTTTTAAAAGGCACGAGGCGGCGCGAGGCGTTTTCATTGATTTACCCGAGGCGCGAGGCGCTAGGCGGCGAGGCGCGCGCCTCACGGATCTTTATGTCATATCTTTGGTAAAATATATTTATGCTACTTCTACATGAAACACTCTTCTCAAAAAGTGACAACATCACAAAAATACTTCAAACTATTAAACAATCTTAATAAACATCCCAAATATTATTAAGACAAGCAAGAAATATATATTAAACGGCATCATTGCTAAAAGTCAAGTCACAAAACTCAATTTTAAAACTTTAAAACATAAATAATAAACCATGGTATTATATTAAAAATTAATAATAAAAACTGTTATATATTGGATAATTAAAAACAAATATTTAGGTACCCTCCTCAGCCTGATTTAAAACAGATCGATAGAGGTAGTAACTCTACAATTTCAAGGTAATAAAATAATACATACTTAATTAATAAAATAACACACGCATAAGAGAACGAGAAGAATAAAACTTACCTGCGAGGTTTTCCGAGGCAAGACAGCAGCGGAAGAAAGAATGGAGAAGAACAGAAAGATTAGAAGAGACTGAATCGCCAAAAGACATGGAATGGGAATCGCCAAAAGAGAATTCCACGAGGCGTGAGAAGCGCGCGCCTCTCAGACGCGCAAAAGGCGTCAAAAAGCGCCGTATAAGGCGCGCCTCTTGGAATCTACGCCGCCTGGGGTTATTAGATGCGATTAAGTGATCGCTTTAGGTCGCCTCGCGCCTTTGCGCGCCTCAGGCGCGCTTTTTTAAACCAAGGCACCAACCATTAGTGTTTAATGAATTATTTTGATTGAAAAACCATGCAGTCTGATACTATTGCATAGACAGCATACAGAATAGACAATATCTACACAAACCACTAATTCACATGATCAGGGTCAGATCCATGATTAAGGGGGCGAAATTTTTTTCACTAGTGTAAGACGTTGCCTATTTTTTATTCAAAAAAATTCATTAGTGCATACACGACATTTAAATCTACTACCCTCTAAGTTTACACAATGAGAAAAATAGTTTTGATTTTATAATTGAAGTGCTCTAGAAAAAGTATCAGTACACTAAACCCAAATAAATGGCAAATCGAAGGGAAATTATTTGATAATAAAAAAGAAGGTTTAAAATTTATCAAATTATTTAAAGGTAAAGTGTCTAAAAGATACGCATTCATCAATACTTTTAAATAAGTTATGCCCCGTTTAATTGCAAAAATCTAATCATAATAGAGAATTGATTTTTGAAGTACACTTTTTGTCTACCAAGGGTGTTCGTAACTCGTAAGCCATGAGGAGTCTTTCATATTAGAATAGTATGATTATGTTGTTGATTCATCATCAACAACATAATTATATTTATACTTGTTGAAGTATAAATATGATTACAGAGAGCATTTTGAAGTACACTTGTTGATTCACCATCTATACTAATATGATTAGTATAGATGGTGCATATTATATTTGTATTAATCATCATCATCATTACCCCGGTGCCGCAAAGGCTCCCACCTACACTGGGGTAAGGGGGTCGGATGTTCGCAACCTTACCCCTGTACTAGAGAGTACAGAGAGGTTGTTTTTGAATGACCCATAGTGAAAATCGCGTCAAAATTACATAGACCGACTGCTATTTCATAACAAAGAAGCACAAACAGTTTAGTGAGTCATTTTGCTTTATTCCATCATATTCTCAAGCAAAAAAATAGTGAGTTTTTGGCTCCATTGCAAATGATGGAACCATATTATATTTGTATTAATGCTATAATAATTTAAAGTATATTACTTGTGCAATCATTTCTTTTCAAAAAGTCAGTACTAAATGAATTGTGTAATTTTAATGTCACACAAACATTTATATTATGGATTCAATTCACATTATCTCAAAACTGTTTATCTAGTGCGCCTTAAAGTTAATATTGATTGATATTTTACAAAATTGAGTACTAATTATGTAATAAAGATAAATTAAACATTACAAAATTCTGATTTTTATAGAATAAGTATCATAAGTCTTAAACCAATGAGTTGTTCTATTGTTTAAACTATTGTAGATTTTTGTCCTTTTACATCTCCTATTAAAGACGAAATATGGAGTATTATATTATGTAAGGCTTTAAATTAATTTCAGTTAAGGGGATGAACATGTGTATATCTAATTAAAGTATGAGAACTTATGAAAATATTACACAGCATATGTTCCTGACCATGAACGGAGTACACACAGTTACCTGCAAAGATCATCCAGTAGTTCTTGTGGAGGGAGACCATTCTTTGAAGGACCGCAGGAAGACCGATTGAACCCAGACATCTGTCCAGAACTAAAAATAAATAAACCCCTAATATTATAGTTTCAGTTAAGCGTGTGAGATGGAGGCGGGGATATGTCACTACACTCTTCGGCTCTTGAAGAAAGTAGAAAATTTTCTCAAAGTGGTATGAAACAGTTTTGTAATTGGCTAAAATTAGAAGATAAAATTCTCAAGTTCAGTTAAGTTTCCACGTCGAAGCTTTGAAGAGTATACATGTGCCTCGAGTGGAAAAGATTATATGAAGAATGATTACTCAAAGTACCAGTCGCGAGGCGGATCCGGATCCTTCCACGAAGCGATCGTCCTGGTTTCGGGTTATTCAAAACCTTGTTACTTGTTAGGTCCAGCTAATGCTATATTTGGACCTTCGGTTCTTAGAATTACTCATACTCCGTAATTTCTTTTGGAACAGAAATCGAAGTGTAAAAAATAAACCGAAACATACCTGAGCGGGTGATATTATTGTTGGGGAATTATTCTCGCCACCCGCACAGGCCGACGTCTTCCAGCGAACCGCTTCTTTTTCCTTCCTCTCCGGAAACTTCCAATGGCAATTCTCGAGCCATTGTCTTTCTTGTTATTTTCGTGTGCAGGAACTAGTTTCCGGACAGAGCAGAAGAGGGCGACAACCATCCCATAGCCTTTAGGTTAAGGGTGCGCATATCGGTTTCCGTTCAGTTCCATTTTAAACAGGTTACAAGAAAGGTTATCAAAGAAAAACCGTACTATGTTACAGTTTGGATTAGTTTGGTTTGGATTTATTACGTAGTTTTTTTTAAATGTATTAAAATTTTATTGAGTATTTTGTTCAGTTTGATTTTATTCGGTTTTTCACACTGTCGATTTGGTTTGGTTTACTTCGGTTTGAAAAAATACTATCAAACACAAATCGAATTATATGTCGTTCGGTTCGGTCAAACCGAACCGACTTGCCCACCCCTACTTTTTTGTAATATTGTTGTTTGACTTGTTTCCTTTTCTTAATCCTAAAATCTATGAAGTAAACAAGTATACGACCTTGTTCTTTTTTAGTTGTGGCATGTGAAACTTGACATTGTTCACGTGTTGCACGTTGCCTAAATTTTGTTTATTAATGTATTATTAATTTAGTTTTTGAAATATATAGTTGAATTCCTCTTATTTTAATTTTTCAAAATTTGTTTTTTTTACTGATAAGGAATGAAAAATACAAGTGATCAAACTTGTGAAAATTGAGACGTTACAATTAAAAAAGAATCGAAAAAGTATTTTACTATGCCCTTCTGCCGTTCTTACTTCTCACTTGAAGATTGATTTTCTAAGCTAGTTTGAAGATTCTAGGTCGTCCGATTTCAATTTTCATTTACTTAGTTTTCATGTGGGTAAGGTTATGAGCTTGGTTTGCCAAATTACCAAATTGGTAAAAAAATATAGGCAGTTACGATTTGTATACGCCTATAAAAGGCACGTTGTAATTCAGATTATGGGGAAGCGAATTATATATGCTATTCTCGACTATCAAACTCTAGCTATTTTCCATATTCATATTTCTTTATGCTTGAGTGTTCTTATGTAGCTTTCCTAAAAGCCTACGAGCATCCTATTTTGGACCAACACTTAGAATAATAAGTGTCGAAAATTCTAAAGTCGATGATCAAAAGTGTCTCACTCACAAAATTTGACCAATTTGTCACGGGGTCTCTATTTTTTTGCCAATTTGACTCAAATGTTTTTTTCTACCAATTTGGTAAAGTACCTGTTTTTTTACCAATTTGGTAATTTGGCCGAGCTTGGTGCATGGACGCGTGGTTAATTGGTTAGAGTGGTTTTAAGGAATCACATATTTACATGTGACTCTCTTATGGAGTTACATGGGTAGTATTGTGTCATCATCTCAACTATTCATTTTATTAGTGGAAGTCTCCATTAAAAATATAAGAGATGGAAATGAATGCCACAAAATCTCATGTGACTCCGTAAGAGAGTCACATGTGATTCTTTAAAATTTTTGTAATTGGTTATATTATAGATTAATTCTAAGAAAACTTCGATTGTAATTGTGCTTGAGCTGTGATGCATATGTTTTTTCTTGTTATCGGCAATATTTGCTGTTGATCTAAGATGTCTATAAATAGCACGAGAGTTCTAGTTTTTTCTTCTCTTCGATCGGTAGTTTCTTTTTTTTTTTGTTATGTTCGTTGAATTTGTAATTGATTCATATTAGTTGTGTTGGTTTTTCGAAGAGGGTTATCTAGAATAAGAAGGTGCTTTAAATGGAAAAAATTGAGTTAAATCCTCGTTACACATTGAGGCAGGTGAACAAATGCCCCAATAAGCAAACATGATCCAAAAAACAAGTGCATCTTGGCATTGAGAGTGTTATCATCACTAACTTTTGAGAAATGCGCAAGCATGATCATCAACCTGATAATTATTATGATTAGTTCATCCTCGATCATATAATCCATAGGAGGGTGAACTAATTGCTTGGTAAGGTGCACAGTCCAGATGGTGATGGTGTAAATGGTCAATATACCAACATGAGTATGATAATGCTATTGGTCGTATGAGGAGGAGAATGAGTTTTGACTAATTAGCTTACGATGAAGAGGATAATAGTGTGGCGAGTACATACCTCCAAGAGAAAGGGTGACGGGAACTTGTGCTAAACTGTTTGAATTAGAGAAAATATTGCACAAATGTAGATTTCTTCCTTAACCGGTGTAAGGTGGGGTAATGATTCCCAATTAGAGTAGGAACATTTAAACTGGCAGTAGCTAAATTTGCCATTCTGCAAGGCAGAAAGTGTATTGTAGAAAGTGTGGGGGTGTATACCCATTCATGTAATCTTCTGCAATATGTTGAAATGAAGATGACAAAGCTTAAATGGCAGAGAATAGAGATGCATTGGAGGCCTATTGGTGAAGTATTCTCAAGTATTCTGTCTAACATTTATGAAGACCAACACAAAGTTTGATGTGATTATGAATAACCTTGCTGAAAGGTTCGATGAAGGCCAGATTAAACATTCAGAAGACCATCACAAACATTCTTTGCAATACTGTGGGGTCAACGTAGGCTACTAATGTGCATAATGTGATAATTAATGTGTCATGAAATTACAAAAATGTCCTTTCAGACCAACAGGTTTTGGCTAGATTCTACCCCAAACAACATTGCTTGTCTAACAATAGTATTAAAATGTTTTGGATTATGTACTCTAATACTCATTGAATTGACGCCAAGAAAACACAACCCCCAACCAAGGACGAAAAAATGAGAACTTTTTAAGTCTGTCAAAATTGGTTGATTTTGAAACGCAGGGACCAAAATTAGAATTTTCTCTTGATTTTTTCTCTATCCATGTATTAGGAATTTCTCATATCATACATCGTCTCCTTTTCGCACTTGATAGAGGCAAGGAAAGTAGGTTGTAAATCATAATTTCAATCAATAGCGTGTAATTGTGTAAGTATGTCTGCAACAAGCACCCCAAAACCTCGGTTTTGGTCTCTCATTGGTAAAAAAAAATGTCTGCAACAATCCAAACCCATATATGTGCAACCTTATCACACATGGATAATATATTTAGAGTTAACCATTTGCAGAGTAATTTGAAGGGCAACATCATTCTTTAACAAGAGCAAGAGAAACGTGGGCAAACAAATGATCACCAGTTGCTGATTTGTTGTGGACCAGGCATTGAGGTTCCAGCTAAGAAAGACTCCAGGAGCGTGAGGGCAAGTTTGGGTCTGTGTAGAGAAACTTCATGGCCTGCTCCTCTTACAGCGACGAATGTCAGCCCTTCATATTCTTGTGTCCATCCCCCAACCTATTTTTGCCATATATATATTCATCACATCAGTGTTGATTCAGTGAGATATAAGACATGGCTATAAGGATTGAAGTCCACTTATAGGATTTGTTCTCTGTCTTAAAAGTGTGGTTCAGATACGAACTTTAAGATCTAACATGATCTGGTCTAAATATCTCTACTTTGGTTTGAATTATTAGATATAGCCTAATCTGGTCTGATATGAATGTTTGTCTAATCTTCTCATAGTAAGACTGCCACTGTAATTTACTACAGGAATGGTCTAAATTGGTTTGGAATATAAATTTGACCATCTTTCAAATCAATCCCGGCCAACCGTCCGTCCATCAGTCCAGTTACAGACGAAACGCAGCAAGTAAAAATGGAGTGATAATAATCTAATACCTGTCCGTTATCATACCAAGCACGCCAAGAGCCAACCGTGGGAAGTTTGAGAGCATCCAGACTATAACGTGTTGATGTGACAGGGATTACAGCATCTGTATCACCACTGTAATAAAAAGAAATGGACGATGAAAAAATCACCACCACATCATATGGGTGCATAATATGATTCAATTCTTAAACAGGATGCTCAGGCACATGTTGTATGGCAAGACGTAATATTATATAGTCAAATGCATGAATAATGTAAAACCCTTGGCCTAGATACACTCTTCTCCCACAAAAGGTCATGGTTCAAGCAATGTTTTAGTCTGAAAAGTCAACTTTAACTTTTAAGAAAAGTTTTTGCAGCATTTTAGTCAATTATTTCAATCAATCTTGAAGATAAGCTTTAGGGGTGTAAGAGCTTGTAAGTTGATCGAGTTGATTCATTCACATTAATTTTATGCTAATTCAGAGCAAAAACAAACTTACAAAAGTTAAAGAAGATCTGGTATTCTCCTATGAACTTGTGTTAGTTGTACTTTGCCACTTGTAACTTTCTCATGCTGTTACCCAAAGGTAACAGTCTAACCCCAGCACTGTTAGAAATGTCTCGAGATGCATCTAAGTAGGAAGAGATTAGGGGGGAAACCTGAATACCCAAATGCGAATTCCTGAACTTAAAAGTTCACGATAGATGTCCAACACAGTCCTAGGAGAATCCTTCCAGGAATCATATACCTCATCACTGCAAAAAGGGTGGTGCATAAACATTCAGAGATATTTTAAGTACAGACGAACTTCTATAAATGTTGTACCAGAACATGGCTATAGTAAATATCTCATCTCACCACGTCTCATGATATTTTCTGTGCATATGAAAATAACCTATGGTGATGACAGATCTAGAAATTTCATCTCATTTTTTCTTATCTTTGGTTAAGAGACAAAGACCATCCAACACTACACTTTTTCCATATTTTTACTTTAGTAATTAATTTTATGCAATTACTGGGCTCAATAGAATTTAGTGCCGCCGACCAAATCCAAGTGGCATTAAGGCGTTCTTACTCAAAGTGATAAACTTCTAAAAACACTCATTAGATTTTATAATTTCATAAAACCACATGAATTTATTTCTAAAAATGAGATTAATGAGATCCCTCACCCTACATAAATATATTTCCACATGGGCTCCTTGAATTTCTTTGCGCTTATTTTTGGCATGGGCTTTTTCCCATAGTATGGAATATGGCAGCATTTAATGCATGTGGCATGGAGTGTGAACAATAAGAGCATTAGGATTACGGCCTGCCGGTATAATACCTGCAGGTAACCCATTTAAATGAGGAATCTCTAGTATGAACATGAAGAGCCTTCTGAACTTC